AGGGTTTGGGAGGGAATGAGGGAGCGGGATACAGCTGGGATACAGCTGGGATACAGAGTTAATAAAATGTAACTAATAATAATTAAAAAAAAAAACACAGCACAGTATAACAAAAGTTATTTAAAGCTTGGGAACTGCTTGTTTTTTGGAACTTTTCATGTAGTGTTTTCAGACTGTTAACACTGCCAGAGGGTGGGGTTGGCAGAGAGGGCCTGCCCCTCTTCGGTGGAGGCTGCGTGATAAGGGTGAAAAGGAAGCCCAGCCGGCAAAGGTTTCCATGCTGAATCTGTTACTGAGAAAGCTCATGCCGTTTCCTGGTTAGCAGGTGCCCCAGTCTTTGTCCTGATGGCGTCTCCCTAGACAAGCAAGAGCATCTGAAACTTCAGGTTGATTCTCCTACCTGGCCACGAGCCTTCCACCTAGTCTACAAGCCCTCCCCAGCACAGCAGATGCCAGCCCGCCTCTTCTAGCTGATGTGTCGTGAGTTATGGTCAGTTCCCACCTCACCCCCACCTTTAAGGAAGCAGCATGGCTGTCCTCTGTGTGGACCCCAACGTGCTGAAATTGCAGGACAGACTTCGATGGGGACCCTGTGTTGGTGGCTTTGATAAAGCCGGCCGGACTCGGAGCTCTCCACAGATGTGGGGTGTGGGGTCGGCTTATCTGGGTGTCTGGCCTGTTTCGTTCCAGTTGCATAGCGGCAATGGGGTTTACTCACCCCAGTGGTCAATGATTATGCAAGGAAGAAGCCCCAAAACACTGGGATTCAGGATGAGCCCCAGGCATTTTCCACATTTGTAATGAGAGATTCTAACCGCCCTGTCTCAGGGTATGAAACAAAAAAAATCTAGCAGTCTCTTGCTACCGTGAGAGAAGTTGATTTAAAGGGGAAGCGCAGAGAACAGGATTAAACTGAGTCAGAAAAGCTGAACCACTCCACAGGGATCCTCCAGGCCACACCAGGCTGCATGGACTGCCAAGCTACAGTGTGCTCAGCCTCTGACAGTCATTGTATCATGTGACCCAATCTAACATACCCCCTTTTACTAGACTTTTAAAAGTCGGGTTAGAATTACATTGACTTTGCAACTCTGGACCAAACCCGGCCTGATGATGCTCTGTCCTCCGACTCCTGGCGCACACGTGTGTGTGCGCGCGCGCGCGAGCACACACACACACACACTCACTCACACACTCTATGAGAATAATTCCCCATAAGCCAATTTGGGAAGGGATGTCTTTTACTTGTAACAAAAGGCATCCTGTTATAATTCTTCCAGGTTCTCCTGGTCTCGGCAGGCAAGCAGAGTGATATCTTAGAATCTTGGGACTCTTTGGCTAGCACTCTCCGTGTGCCCCTTTCCCAACAATGTACCTAGCATCAAGCTGCAGATGTACTCCTGTTTCAAACAATGGAGGAAGTTGCTCCTTCCTAGCAGCCCCTCAGTCAGTGACTACTCTTTTGTAGTCAGTTTCCATTCAAACATGTCCCAGAACATTTCCAGAAACTACAACAGGGTACCAATCCTGTCTGAACCAGTTCTGACTGCATATACCCTAGTTACCGTGTTATTCCTATGTACAGTTGGACACACATAATTAAAACCAGCTTCACCATGGGCCTATGAGCAGTGAATAAAGTCTTAATCTAAGCGTGACCGGGAGTGGCGGCACATGCCTTTAATCCCAGCATTCGGGGAGGCAGAGGCAGGAGGATCTCTGTGAGTTCGAGGTCAGGAAAGTCTACAAACTGAGTCCAGGGTAGCCAGGACTCTACTACAAAGAAACCCTGTCTCGAAAAACTAGTCGTCGTAGTCATCATCATCATCCATGTTTGTCAATGAAGGCAGAGAACCATTCATCTCAAGTCCCTTACCAACCATCTCCTGCCCATAAAGGAAGTTTCCCGCCTTTGAGCAGTAAGCAACCGGGCCGTTGAGTACTTTAATTCAAGGAGCCTGCTGCAAAGCAGCCATCCGCTCTGCATTGTTGCCTTGCTTTTGAATAGTTCCCTGTGGCTTTGCAATTCGGGGCTCTTCCATTCTTTGAACAAGACACCAAGAACCTGGAAACACGCAGTCCAGACGGCGGCTAGAAAAAGCCTAGGCAACTGCAGCGCTCCACGTGGCTCACGTCCCATCTCTCCGGCCTCACTGAAAGGAGCCCCTGGCAGAGAGCAGCAGCAGGGCTTCTCTGACCTGCACCAGAGGTCTCAGTCATGTCTCAGTCCGCAAGTCATACTCCTGGCTGTTGCTGACCACACTTTCATGCTTTGTGACGCTAGAGATTAAACCTAGTGTCTCTTGTACGGCTCACATCTCCAATAGCCATGTAACCTGTAACACTTCACCCCACCCCAGGCCTCTTAGGCACAGGTTTTTCTCACTGGCCTCTCCTGTTAGCCACATGAGTCCTAAGGACAGTGCTGTCCAGAGGACAGAGTATGCCAGCAGACAATGCATGGAAAACTCAGCAGACCTTTCCTTATTTATTGGATTCCAGATACATGGGACTGGCTGGGATAATCCCAGGGCATGTGATTTACATGGGGGCCGTGGGAGAACTCATACAAGAAATACGTACAGGAAGGTGAGGCGGCACGACGAAAGACTGCCGGTTAAAAAATATATACATCTTAAGCCATTCCAGTCACGATATCATTATCAGAAAATAAAGCAATCTCTCCACATAGTGCTTCTCTTTGGTGCTGTTCCATGGGCTTGGACTCTGGGCCCTTCTGTCTCCTTGCTACAAGTCTGTCATCCTCGCCTGCCAACTCTCCCATGAATCTATAGGGGAGAGCCAGGCACAGATAGCATAGGCCCTGACCCTGCTAACCCCGAATGAGCGCGCCTCAGTCCCCAAGCTGTGGCCCTGGGAAGTCATCGGTTTGTGTATGCAAAAAAACCAGGAGGCATGACAAATCCATCCAGAACATCCAGCTAGGAGAGGGGAGAAGGGAGTGAAATACATCCCAGCCAGCACCTCCTTCCTCTACAAGGTTGGTTATGTTCTATTTCTCGGTTTGAAATGACCTTTATCTGAGTACACAGCTACAAAGGGGGGGTCTTCTTGGGGGGGTTTCCAGAAAAGGAAGGTAGCCTGGGTTTTTGCTCTGATTTGGGAAGGTGGGTGGTGTAGGGGGACTCCCTTTCCTGATCTGAGCACCCTGGCCTCACTGGGCTGGTCTTTGAACAAGCTGGCTCTACCCTGACTCCAGGTACCCGAGGAAACCCAGCTCTCCCACAGGGCACCTAACTGATACTGGCACATTCCCTCTGCTTATGAAAACAGCTTCTGTCTCTGGACAGCCGGTGAGCAGCATCCTCGGATGAAATGGGTTCCATCTGGGGCACTTGCATTGGTAGACTGTGGAGACCAAGCTGCCCACTTAACTGCTGCTGCTCTAGAGTGGTGTCCACTCAGCCAGCTGTGGGCAGCAGGTCCAGGAGACATGCTGAGAACTAGGTGGGGTTGTGGGTGACACCCTCTTCCCACAACTCCAGGCACCCAACAGTGTGGCTGGGGGTGGTCTTCAGGTCAGGATCTCCAAGGCCAAATCCTAAGGATTAACCCAGTTTAATACTAAAGTGGGCTTCTACCTTGGATCAGGGACAAGAGCTCAGGCAGAGCCTTGGATACCCAGATGCCTGGACACCCACTCACCCAGTGGCTCTGAGATGCAATTCCCTGTCAGTAGAAGGGCAGAGAAAGGCTCTCCTGAAGAGTTTAGTATTAACTATGGGACATGGCCAACCTGTAATCTGGAGTCCCTGAAGCTCCCAGAGATATTGCCGAAGAGGCAAAGCCAGAAAGCCTGAAAGAGGGGACCCTTGCATTCCAGGAAGGGGGACAGACTAGGTGTAGCCTGGGAGATTTCCCAGAAAAGCGGCTCAGGTGGGTTGGCAGGTCTGTTTTCCAGAATGAACCTCTTCATTTCCAGGACGTCCTGTCAACCCGTAAACACCAGGGAGAGCTTGGGATTGGCCCTGGACTGGGGGAAACAGAGAAAAGCCGTGTTCATAGGCCCAGGGCTGAGGGGTTTAGTAAGACAGGGCCTCTCAGGAGGAGAGGGATGGGGTTGGTAGACCACCCTACCCAACACCCAGACTGCAGGGTCTTGGGTGACCCAGGAGGGCTACCTCAAACATCCCCAGGGCAAATGTCTTCAGGCTGCCCTTGCCCTCAGTAGCACAAAGCCTTGCCTTTGAATGAGCTAAGGGAGGGGCCAAAAGGGGCCTTTAGAGCTCCTTCCTTGCCAAGGTGTGATTACATCTCCCCCCAAAACTCTTGGCCTCTCTATCCTATACCCCAACCTGGACTGATGACCTGGCCTGGGGGTACCCTCTGATGGGGCCAGGTCCTGAACTTTCCATGGGTTTCTACTGGACATGCCTAAGAGGAAGAAAAAGGGCAGGGGCACAGGACCCAGTTCTTTTCTGACCCAGTGAGTTTTCCCAGATACTACTTCTGCTGGCTGAGGTAGGGGCAGGAAGCATCGGAGGGGCTTTTGGGGGGTAGGGATGTGGCCACTCTAGCAGAAAAAAAAAAAAAAAAAAAAAGCACCCACCGAGGGCTGGGTGTGCTAGCACAAGAGGAAAGGGGAAGAGGAGGGAGCCAGCTGGATTGAGGAGGAGAAGAGCCTCAGGAGAGGCATTCTCGGACCTCTGCACAAGCAGGGTCTCTGGAGACACTCTTGCCCCATGGGCCGACCCTCCGTGACAGCGGCACCTCCGGGAGCACCCAATCTAAGTCTCTTGGGTCCTGGGCACTCAGCACCACCCAGCCAGGTCCATCCAGGTCCTAAATGGGGAGGGGTCCGGAAATGGATAAGCTGCCTCTTGCAGGAAGGGGTGCTTCCTCCGGTGGTCTCCGGCCCTAAGGGGAGTCAGCCCCGGCCCAAGCCTTAGCACTGCCCATGGAGAAGGAAAAAAATACCAAAGAAAATGCGGGTGACAGATGAGCCCCCCGCCCCCGCCCTCCCATCCCCAGTCTCCCCATCCGCTGCCCCTAGGAGTCTGCACAAAGTCAGGAAGCAGGAAACCCCTTCTTCTGGGACAGCCCGGAGCCTCGACACGGGTGTGGAGAGTCGAGGCTGGTCGCTGTGGAAGTCTCCACGTGGATCATGTCCGTCCATCTGTCTGCGTGCTGGGCCATCACACCTTGGCCTCCAGCATCTCCAGGAAGAGTTTGTGCATGGTCACCTTGCCCTGCAGTTTCAGGCTGTAGAAGTGCTGCACGGCCTTGGCAGCTGTCTGCCGTAGCAGGGGCAGCGTCAGCAGCAGCTTGCCGGTCCTCCGGGGCTCCTCGTGGCGCTGGCTCAGCTCGTAGTCCTGCAGCGCCTCGTGCAGCAGGTCCTGGAGTTTCTGCACCGCCTCCAGGTCCTCAATGTACATGGAATCTGTAGACACAGGAGAGGGTCAGTGCCAGTAGGGGTTGGTTGCCCCCCCACCCCCCGGGGCAGAAGGCATTCCTTCTGGAGTGCAGGATGGCCCAGCAACTCCAGAGGTTGACTACTGAGAGCAGAATGAGGATCTTCACCGCAGGGCTGAGTCAGAGAATGACAGAAGAACTGCATTCAGATCCGCCAGAGAGACCACCAGGAGGGCACTGAAAAAGCTCAACCATGGGTAGACCTGTTGGTTACCATGGAGGTGTCCAGAAGACCCTGGAACCTGGCTGATAGGCTGTGTGAGACACTGGGCGTGTTACACTTCTCAGCTTTCCTAGTCATACCTCCCTCACAGGGCTAAGAGGGCTAAGGGTTTAGAACAAGCACACACTTGCATCATGGGAGCCTCGCCGCTATCACGGCTGGCACCATCCTGTCTTCAGGATGCCACTGAGCCATGGGTCCCACACATATGCCGTACAGGCACCAACTTTACAACTCTGGCTGCAGAACATAGAGGGGGCGATGCGGGTGAGGGGAGTACAGTGGCGAGAGACAGAGGGAGCCAGAGGGGATATAGCTCAGTGATGGGTGCTTGCCTAGCACGCTCCAGGCCTCGCGTCGTGTCTGATCCCTAGCACTGTTGACTTAGAATGTCTGCAGCCCATGAACTCACCGTCTAAAACACCGGGATAAAGTTAGGTATGAGCAAAACAAAGGGAGATCTCCTTGAACCCGTCCTGTGGGAGAACTACTACCCAGCCACTTTGTGTTAACAGCCCGTGCCCCTCCCATGAACTGCGGGCCCCAAAGCTGGCTGTGTGGACAGACGGAGCTGAACCAACCTAGTGGATTCCTCAAAAGAGCAGGCAAGTCCACTGCACGCCGAACTGCCTGACAGCAAACTGCTGAGTCAGCTGCACCAACAGGCTGGTCCCAGTGATGCTACGGACCCGGACCCCGCTGGGTCTCCTCCCAGCCTGTACTCTCCAGAGTCCCCGCCACCCCTGACCCCATTTCCCATCCTGTCACCCTCTCCAAGGAGCCACAATTGGCAGGTGCTTTCAACCAAAAATGAAATAAAATAACATTGCAGGATCAATTTCTTTGCAATCCATCAGCAAGTCTGTATCGATGGCATTGATAAACTGTTAATTACAAAATCAATGCCTATGAATTTTTTTTTTTCTTGCTGTCAGAGAGCCCTAGAGATGGCTGGGATGCAGGCGAGTGACAGTTGGCACACTCTCAAGGGGTCGGGTCGGCCTTTGACGAGCTCTCCTCTTCCGCCAGGTATCTGAGTCGACCCATCCACATAGCCACAGAGGCCTTGTACTGCTGCCAGGAGGTCTCAGTGGTCTCCTGGCCATCCCTTCCCCATCCAATATGCTCTGTGGACTCCTGGGTAACTGTTCTGCCTAGGAACCTTGACTTGCAAGAGCCATGTCTGCCCAGCTCTTCCTTCCTGGACCACAAGGCACTAGGGCTTTTGGAAGACAGGTGTAAGGAGTCTCTGGGGCAGGCAAGGGCCACTACCATGGGAGGGTGGTATACACCTGTAATTCCAGTACTTGGAAGGGCTGAGGCAGGAGGATTGCCATGAACTTCAGTTCAGCCTGGTATATTCAGTCAGTCAGTCCTAGACCAGCCTGGGCTACAGAGTGAAACTTGTCTCAAAAACTGGAGAGCCGTCAACCGTTATTGGTTTACAAATTGCAGCAAATTACCTAATGCAAGATATAAGAGTGGAAAGAATAGGGTGAGGAGGAGGAGGAGGAGGAAAGGGAGGAGGAGGGACACACAGAATTCCAAGTGTTGTTTCTAGAGCTTCAGCAAAAGATAAAATAAAACAACCTGTATTAGGTCAGGTCCATGGGAGCAGAGCCTAAGGCTGGGGTCTGGGTTTAATTTACAGAGGGGGAGGGTGTTTTCAGAAGGAAGAAGTGAGGAGGCAGAAGGCACAGAAGGGGCACACAATCCAATGCCAAGACCTGAACCCACGCAGATTTCTAAGGCAGACGGACTGTTGTGCTGGGTGAGGCCTCTATTGGCTGACAATACATGGCCGGGAAATGATGGCCTGGAAAGGCACCAGAGGGTAAATCTGGGGAGCTAACAGCAATGAACTCAAGTGGCTCAGGATGGGAGTGCTATAGGGCAGTATGGGTCTGTGCCATCAACTGTCCCTGTGTGTGCTTCAAAGCCACAGACTGAGCAATGGTCCCAATCTGTCGGGCACTCAAGGTGTTCCTGGGATAGGAGACTTTCAGGAAAATCCTGGCACAAATGGGGAAGCAGTAGTCTGCCTGTGTGTGTGTGCCTCCACCTGGGAGCCAGCTTCCCCTCATCCGTGTGCTGGGAACATTATTTCCTCCGACGTCATGACAGGAGTGACAAGAATCAATATTTACTGAGCTTTCCTCTAGGCCAGGCATGGGCTGCAGTTATCCTCAGCTGATCTTTAATACTCACAGGTGCTTGAAGGAGGTAGAGGTACTGAAAATGCCTCCTACACTGGGAAAGAGCTAACTAAGTAGTGTCAGGGACAGTGTGTGTGTGTGTGTGTGTGTGTGTGTGTGTGTGTGTGTGTGTGTG